AGTAGCGATGCACTTGATTCCGGTACAATCTGTGCTGAGATGAGATCAGTGGCCACAAGTAGGATAGGCTCAAGTATTGGAAATGGTTTATCAATCCGTGCTCGGAAGCAATAACATGTGTTTTTTTGACACGTAGAGTAGAGTTGGTCCTCATTAAATCCACTTCTTTTGTTTCGGAAGAGCAATATGAGAATAGAAACATATGTAAAAATGAGAATAGTAAATCCACTTCTGTGTTCCGCTGGCTGCCAAGAGGATTGACATGTCCGACCACTCCAAGCATCCACAGACTTCGTGCCAGCCCTCGCCGTGATGGACCACTGGCCGCCCGCGGCTTGGGGCGGCAGCAGTGCCTTCCAGGTGCCACCCAGCACGTTGGCCTCGACGGCGGGACTCGACTCTGCCCGGACGCACCGTCGACCATTCTGAAAACGCTCGGTACGAGGTGATCCGAGTCTAATAGACATATGTCCTGTACTTGAGTGGTGCCAAGTAAATCGTCTTTGGACTTCGGCATCATGAACTCATTGAAGGGGCAAGAACTCCATGAATGGCAGGGGCCTAAATCGATGATCCCAGGGCCTTGTGGTGCCCTGCCAAGCCTGTTGGTGATGACCCTCGAGAGAAATGGCAGAACCCCTGGAACGGGTAGAGAAGGTCCTTGCATTTTGAACCCTGCCTATCTATAGAATATTAACATATAGGAATTATAAAAATATAGATATATATATATATAGAGAGAGAGTTAGAGAGAGCTTTTTAAAGCATGCAATATCAATCAATATCATACAATATCCATAATTATACAAGTCTTAAAGTCATTGAGAGACAGCTGATTGCTTTTGACCTGCTGCTGGTCAAAAGTAGCTTCATCAACATCCACATCCACGTGCACGGAACGTCTCCCCGCCTCCACGCTGGCCACTTTCTTGGACCCTGCCGAGAGCTCGACGGTCACCGTGGACACCGAGGTGTCATTCACCTCTCCAAAGATGGCCGCCTGTGGGTCGCGGTGATGATCGCCCTCAGGTGGATCGGTGGATGATGAGCGGAATAGGTCTAAGTCATCTTCTCCATTGACGGAGCACACCAAATTACCAGGGTGAAACAAAAAAATCTCTTGTACTTGCCCTGGGTGAAACTGGTCGTTTGGCGTTTGGGTCCAAAAGAATGGCCGAACTTCAGTATCCTAAATATCTGTGGATAAGAAGGCCATCCCGCCTTCGCGGGCTGCTGCTGCAACACCACGTAATCGCCGAACACTTCGGCAAAGCGCAAAGCAGCCGCGCCTGAGGTCAGACGCCACTAGTCCCGGGATTCGCGCAGAGTCAATTGGCTTGGTCTCGAAATCCGGACCTGGGAGCTGGGAGGACCTTGAAGAAGGAACATGCAGCTCATATAGCTTGGGAAGCTCGTGAATGGGAGGGGCAGTCTGCGACACTGCTAAAAGCATCAAAAAGCACCCCAAAAGGCTGTTCAGACGCATCTACATCGCAAACTGCACCCAATCCAACGATCTCCGACCCTCTCACCTAGGAGGCTGGCGCTCCACAACAGCCAATGCATCAGCACCATGGCGGTGAAAGTTGAGCCTTCAATGCCTTCAGCGTTCCCGGTCGCTTCAGAAGCCTGAAAGGTAAGACTACCGTGATAAAGGAGGCCTATAGTGACGTTTCAAGAATAGGGTTCTAACCTGTGACACTCTCTTGCAACAGACATGCACCAGGCAGGCAAAAGCCTCTTTGCAGCTAGAAACCACAAGCTTTCACTGGGTCAGATCGTCCTCAATCTTAGTCTTCATAGAGGGATGGGGTTCAGGTCCAAATACGGCTTGACTTGCTTTGAAGAGTGGCTGGAAGCTGGCCAATGTGAAAGCAAGTCCCATAAGTTGCGGTGTGTATGTTCAATAACTGCCACACCTGGATTGAAAATCAGGTATCTGGTATCAGCCGCTTGTCTACTTGCCTGGTGAATACTACCATAGGGGAGTCCTTGTTGTAAGCCATACTTGTGCGAGTATGTCTCAAAGACTTCACCAATGGCCGATCCTCAACGGCCTCCAGACTTCAAAACCCTGTCCCCAAGAAATGTCATACGTGGATTGAAGGGTTCCATGATCTAGATTTCAAGGAACCCAATGCCTGGTCCTTCCGTCGTGCCATGTTCACCTCCCACAGCCTTCGCCCGCCGTCAACCAACGGCCGGGCACGTGGCACCGGAGCGGCGCCCGACCTCAAAGCCCAGATCGGCGCCAAGATCTGCTTCCCGTAGTGCTCAGCACCGGCCTAGAGACGGGGGCGATTTGGCCCACGAACGCCCACGAGTGGTGTACTAGGAAGGTCATCAATTCCATTCCCCTGTCCGTCCAGAGTCCAAAAGAAGGTCATCCATAGAAACAAAGGAAACCTACAAGGACCACGACTCCATGACGGTGATGCCAACTGATGCCAACGGAAACATCTTGCCACCTACTTTGCCCGCTGCCCGCTGCCCGCACGAGCTGCTGCAATGCCAATGTATCTCCAAAAAAGCCTTGCGCCGAGATGCTAAGTCAGGAAGCGTGTCCAGGAACTTTGAGATCTCTCCTGACATCCCAAAAACTGAACTCTCAGCTCTCAGTGTTCAGCCACATGGCCAAACTGCGCGGTGGCGACCCGACTCTGGTGTGCTTCGTCTATGTTTGTTGTTCGAGAAATGAACATGTGCATGGCTCAAAAGATCAACTAAATCCACCCATTTGAAGCTTACAACCAACCAAACCTAAGACATAAGAATGTAAAGAGTTGAGTAGAGACCAACCAGCCCAAGTTGTTGGGATCGGGAGTTAGTTTTTTCCAAAACCCTACGATCGTTCTACATCAGCCCCAAATCTCCACCCCTCTCCTGAGTGTGGAATGACACCTGCCACGCCTGCGATCCACTCCTGCCGAACAACGGTGCAGCCGTAGCAGCTGCTGGGCGGCCAAAACGTTTGGAATGACCCACCACATGCGGGGCCATGCATGGGCGTGGAAGGGGGTCCAGGCTGGGGTCGCACATGTACCAACGTGTTCACCCCATTCAAAGGAAGAACAATAAGAAGAAAACGAACAAGTCCGCGGTGCACCTGTTCCTCGAGCTTATGCTTGAGCTGCTGGATTTCCAGGTCGCGTTTTTCCACCTCCAGCTTCAGTTGGTCCTGATGGAAATGCTTCGACGCTGTTTCGCAGGATCCAAGCTGCGGCCATGGAGTTGCGGGATTCATCGCTTGTTTTGAATTGGATGCTAAGGGCAGGCCATCCTGACAAATGGACAACTCATCAAATTGGACTATGAATCTTGTATTGGCAAGGGTCTGGTGAATGAGCAAAGGTTGGCTGTTGGTCTGGTAGTGTTTCATGTCTCAGCTCAGTTCTCACTTTCTGGAGACAGCGGTTGCAGTCGACCCACATTGATCAAACCAAAGGTCACCGGTCTGTGCAAGCCGTCTCTGTGGGTCTATCAGCACAGTCGACCCTCCACGACGACTTAAGTCGGTGACGTTGGCACAACGAAAACTCGGCGTCTCGACCCCCAAAAGAGGTGTTTGGGTCCTGATCGAAGTGCGATTCTCCAACGAAACGAACGAACGAACAGACGTCGCGGTTCCCCGCGGTCATCCGCGGAACCGGACACTCCATCAAGTCGAGGCTCAAGTCTCTCGATGGTTGCATCTTGAACTAAACACAAAAAAAACAAGGTCTCTGAACGCATTGGACCTGCGCCCCGACGCATGGGATTTCCGGGCGCTGCGCCCCGACGGCCACACAGTCGGAGGCCTCCAGCTCGAAGATCCGAGCACGAAGCTCAGTGCTTTCCTGCCAAAGCGAGGACGCGAACGCGAAACGTCGGAACGTCGGACGTGCCGAAGCGAGGACGCGAACTCGGCGCGGGTCCACGCGCCGCTTCGGAATGAGGTCTGATTCGACCCAGGTGGCACCAAGAAGTCCGGAATCTGGTCAGGTATGATTCTGGGGATTCTGGGATCACACAAAGAAACACGCAGTCGTGAACGATTGGAGCCTGAGCAGTTGGGGGCCTTCCACATGTCTTTCACCAAGGCATGTTGCCTTGAAGTGGAGTGTTTGGCCATCTTAGAAGGCTCAACTTGACGACTCCAGGCCGCTCACTGACCCACAAAGAACCAGAAGTTGGAGAAGAGTGTCCAAATCAGCCAGCATTTGTGATAGACATGACAGACATGTGTAGACATGTGACATGGCTGATTCAGGCTCATTGTGCTCATTCCATGGTTGTTTGACATGGCTGAAAACCCACTGCAGGGCCCGTGGCCCTCCACCCCACCAGACGGACGGGGCACCTTCTGATGCTTTTCTCGTAGCTCTGCGATGATGCGATCTCGGGTCGACACCTATGCGATCTCGGGCCGGAGCAGAGCAAAGCCTGCAACTAACTGCACTCATCCACAAGTCCTCAAGCACCATGGAACCCTTCTCTTGATTGAGGATGAGGAGTTAAGGATTATGTTATGATAAATATGTATCAAACAAAGGATTTGCCAAACGTCGACCTGGTTCGGGAAAGAGCTCGGGGAAAAAAATCGAAACCACCAAGCATTCACCGAGCACAAAATAACTTCCTTACCACAGAGACAGAGAGAGAGAGAGAGACAGAGACAGGCAGACAGACAGACGGCCAAACAGGCAGGCAGGTAAGCAGGCAGGAAGACAGACAAACAGACACATCCATCTGCTCCTGGTCCTGGTCTACAGCTTTGCTTGTGTCGATTAACCCCGCACCTCGTGCTGCTCACGGAACTCGAGTTCCGCGATCTGTCGCTCCTGGTGAGAGAACGGATATAAAAACTCGAGGGTCAGGGTCAGTGGAAACTCCAAGACTTCAGACTTCATGTCAAGGCACACACTTCAGACCCTATGTATACCTTGGGTCTATCCTACTAGCTGTAACAGGGGATGATGATGGTTAGGTTGCAGGCCTTGTTCAAAAATAGTGATAATTGTTTACTGACTGTTACAGATGTATACTTGTCTTGAGCTCTTTGTGCCGTTTGAGTATAGCAAGCAGTTGTGGTTGTGCATAAATCTGGAAGAACCCCACCACACAAATCAACAGTCCAGGTTAGAAAGTGCCCTCATATTTAGGGGGGTCGCAAACCAGGGAGGGCCCCCCGAAAGTCCCATACTTGCAAGGAAGAGATTGTCATAAAAAAAATACTTCGAAAACTATTGAAACATCTTTATCTATCCCAACATGATCTCGCTCACGTGCGCGTCATCGATGACGAACCCTTCAAAAAACACACCTCCGGTCTCCGCGTCATGCCCGCGCCGTCGTCGTCGCGTCATGCCCGCGTCACACTCCCACGTCACTTTGGAGGAAGTCTCCGAGTCGGAAAGCTCCAGCGGCTCCTGGACTTCCAGCTCTTGCAGCGGCGCAAAGGTCACGTACCCCAGACTCGTGGCCTGCCACGCGGGCGCTCGGAGATCACCGAGCTGGCTGCGGTGAGTCGAAGATGGCGGAGAGTGACTAGACGGAGCCTCTGTGAGACCAATCAGCTGACTGGTCATTCGCTGCTTTCTGGTGGACTAGTCGGGCTCCAGATGGGCTCCAGGTGGGGGTCACGGCCCATCTTTCATAGATTCGATTCGCAAAAGTGCAGGGTTTCTTCGAGCTGCTCAGGGCAGCTGTGCGCCGTGACCCTCCGGCCGTGTAAAGGGAGTCCTCCATCCATGGGACCAGCCCCACCTCCCCAAACCTCTACCTGTCGAGTCACCAGCCCACCCGGCGCGGGCGCGCTTCCACCGGCCGGGCGCGGGCGCGCGAGGGCGCGCGGCCCGGTCCCAAACAGGCCGGCAGCTCGGCGGCCCGGCGCACGGCATCTGCTTCATCATCGAGGCACTGCAGCAGCGACGTGAGCACGCGACTGGCGGACGTTGGAGCGGACCGGGGTTCCCGGTCGGACCGGTGGGACCGGGCCGGAGGTGGTGGCGAGCCACGGGTTCAGGTGCGTGACGGTGCTCAACGGGCGCACCCTTCGTGGAAGGCGACGGGTCTGTCTTTCCAGTGTTTGGAGCCAAACATGCACAGACCTAGGGAGACGTGACTGGACTGACCAAAGGACTCCACCATGAGGTGGGGGTCTTCTGAATTATAGAACACTCAGCGTGGAGATTGTACTGGTCAGCGCTTCACCTCATCCATGTTCATGGCCCAAAAAGCGTGAGACCACGTGCTTCAGTGATTCCGATGCAAAGAAAGATCATGAAAGATCTATCAAGGCATTTGGTGTCCAGGATGATCATTCAGAATTCGAGATGACCCTTTGACTCTGCCTGATTCTTTTCTCTGCGTTCGACTCTGCCATTCATTCTCTGCCCGTCCATTCAGCAGACTTTGGGGAACTCACCCATCTCAGCTCAGTCATTCATCCCGATTCATGCCCTTTGCACTTTGGGTCCGAAATCGCTCACTGGGTGCCAAGTCAAACAAGACCAGTGGTCGACCATCAAGCAAATGTTTCTTCACAAGTCTTTACATGGGTCTACTGAGCCTTGATGATTTTGTTGACCCACAGCTCACTGGCAATCATGGAGAAACATGAAGAACGAACTGAGAAAGCAATAAACAACCATATATTGTAACATGTCCACTGGCGTTCAGCCGAGCGCCCCAAGGACACATGGTCATCCCTGGCCTGTCACCTCTCACCGCCAAGCGCCCCAAGGCTTCCGTGGCGCAGCAGCGGACCCGGGACTGAGTAGAGATGAAGTGACGAAAACAGGCGGGCTGTGACCCACCCGGCTTCTATTGAGAGCCCCTTAGATGTTAAGCGGGGGTCCATTCACCACCCCGACCGTGGGTCCTGGTCTAGTCTATGAGTCTATATGGCCCATCTCTTCCGAACGGACCCCGACCGCAGGGCAGGCCACGGGTGCCATGATGATGGACGGAAGGGAACCGCAGATCCCCAGACTTCAACGATCGAGGAAGTGAAATACAAACCCAGTTGGTGGAAGAAAAGAGCCTTCTCTGGAACATGTTCCATTTCCATCCATGTTCATAGTGGTTGGAAGGACAATCAGGGAGATGTAAGTCAGGGAGATGTCATGACAACGTGTTTCCTTGTCCCATGGGCCCATGGACTAGTTGTTTGGCCTTCAATTGATGACACATTGAGACGATTAAGGGGCCACACAATTACAATATGTTTTACAATCAGGGGGTGCACCCTTATGCACCCTTATTGTCTGCCTTCATGGAGGGGATCCATGTCCAGCTGAAGGTGGTCCTGTTGCACAAGCCCCTGTAACTACCTAAACTGCAATTACTTGCACGTGTTGGTTTCCATGGTGTAAACATCATAACTGTTCCAGAAATGATCCCATAAGTTTCTGCTCATCCCACATAATTAGCTACAGTAAGGACTAATGACCCTGTCAAGATCTTGGAGGTCTGCAAAACCTAACAATATTTCTGCTTGATCCAAGTTACATCACGGTCAGATTGTAGCTCCAACATGCGATTGACCACCTGACAAGCAAACCATGAAGGCTGCCACAATGCGAAGAATGGCTGTGAAGATGCTTTTGAACACATTTGGCATCCTTTACCGACATGAACAAGGTCAATGAAATTCAACACGGTTTGCAAGAAAAGCGTCCAAACCTTTCTCAAAGCTTTTTCTGTACACGGGCCCAAGACTTACCTTGCACAGACTAAAGGTTGCTTTAAATGCTCTAATCACTCACAAAGAAGAAAGGGTGTGTGCATCTGAGGGCACGGTTCCGCTTGAAAAGGGCATGCCATACAATTTGTAGGTCTAAACTGGAAGACCATGATTCAATCTCTCCATGTAAAATAACCACAAATTGGTTTGTGGCGTGGTCCCTACTTGCTCTGCTTCTTTGGAAGGTAATTGCTGATTCATTGCGCTGAAACCGCTTCAACCACGAGGATTGGGCTGCGCAAAGCTATCCATCTATTCCGAATCTGTCCCTGCTTCCTGGGTGTGTCGGCGTTGGTGCTGCTCTTAAAAACTCTAGCGGGCGCAACAGGCTTCACACTGAATATATACGACAAGCCCCCCCCTGTGTTCAGCAAAAGGCATTGCAAACATTCACACATTCACAAACAATGTTCGACGGATCCCTTTGTTCCGCCAGATGCTGGCGCTGCACATTGCCTTCTGCAAAGCAGCCGTGCCTCAATGGCTCGCCGTCGGTGGACGCCACTCCAGCTTGCGCTGGTAGCGCAGGTAGGCGATTAAGGCCGGCAGCCAAAACAGGAGCCAAGACATTGCAACACCCATGCTCCACACCATTCCTGTGGAGAAATTTCTCTGGTCGCATGCTCGCTGTATTGCCTGCTCGCTGGATTGCCCACATCCTTTTGGGGGGGCTGGAAGCCGCCGGGCCAAACCGAGCCCCGCGACTTCGCAGTGAAGAGGTGGGAGTAGAAGGAGTACAACAACCACCAAATCTTCTGCAGCCTCAACTCCAGATGGGCCATGCTGATTGCAAGTCCCACGGGCGCCTTGGAGATCGGACGACGGGTCCCACAGCTGCGCGCCCACGCACGCAACAGGATGACCTCCACAGTGTGCTCTTCACTCTTCACACGCTGCGCGTGTACGACGTCCCCTTCCCAACTTGGAGCAAAGCCACCGTTTACATCTCAAGGGCTTTGTGGACCTTTGAGCCCTTCGAAGCTCCTTCAACTTCTCCACAAGCCCCTCAGCCCTCATCCACTGGTCACGCTTGTCACAGGAGACAGGCTAGTGATATGCCCAGTAGTGGCCAGCGAGGACAGAGCGCAAAGGCAAACGAAGCCACGCAAAGACTGTGCATACACTGTGCGAGCGTTTGCCACCAATCGATCAGGCATACGTCGATTCCTGGCTAGGCCATACGAACTGTTGTGGCTGCCCCAAGACATCGCACCTTCAAAGGATAGGAAGCAAAAAGCGAGCAAACTTGGTTTAGAAGGGAAGTAAACAAAACTATAGTTAAGACAGTAGAACAAAAGAACAGCTTTCAGTGTCAACACTTCAGTCATTACTCTGGATCTGGTTGTCAGGCTCGTGTATGTGTTGCTCATGAGGTGTCTAATTCTAGTTGCCCAGCAATATACGTAGGATGACTGTGGTTAGCAACTCAGCCTTCCACATATCTTGCACCCCACTACCATGCCAGGGGTGTTCAATATCTCCATGGTGTTGCCCCCAAAGAACATGGGACTTTGGGGGCAGATTGAGCAACATCCGTCTCCAACTAACCATACGTTAGACGAGAGTTGAAACAAATCCTGTTCCTCATATCTATGAGGGGAAGTTATAAAACCACCGGTAGAAATTGGCACGTGAAAAAGAGAAGAACGTTCATTCTTATTTGGTGTTCAATCCTTAGCCCGGCAATTGGATGGCAGTCTGAATGGATGGCAGTCGGATAGGGTCCCCGAGACTCCGAGACTCTGATTGGATAGGTTCCAATCCAGGCTTTGCAGTGCCTCTGGGCTTCCTTCCGCCGCCAAATTGCACAGAGCCTCAGGCTGTTCAAAGACCACAGAACCCCAGCAGGCCTTGAGTAGACTTAGAGGATTAGAGAAGTCCGCCCATCTTTGGGGGTGTCTCTCATTTGACTTCATCGTTTGAATCACTGAGTTAGATTCTATGTGAGATTCTGCATTGAAAAAGGCAAACCGCAACCACTTCGATGACTTGTCATTTGATCTTGGATCATCCGAATCAATGATCTGCATGGCTGTATGTCGGTCATTTATGGTCATTTGACCCATAGCACTTGGTGAACATCCTCTGTTCGCTGAGAGTTCTACCGTACCCGGCTCGTCCTGCTCGTCGAACGGGAGAACTCGGTTGAATGCGAACCACCGCCGCCGGGCCTCCACCGCGCTGTAGCGCACGAAGGCCTCCGAGTCATTGCTGCGCTGGAAGAGCGCGGCCAGGACCTCCCGTGTGAAACGGTGCGCCATGTTTCATGGCGGGAGGCGAGGAGGGCGGTTCACCCGTAGTTCGCAAGAAATCTCATCAGATGTGACATGTGCTGTACTACTGTATAGAATCCATGTTATATCCATATTTGCTTGAAATCACTTGGCAGAACTTGCCGCTTCTCCACATGTTTTTCCCATACCCCCCGCTGGCCTGTGGATCTTCCTTCTTCGCCACCTGAAGACCGCCGGAGACCGCTTTTCGCTTCCGCCGCTTCGCGCGAAACAAGTCCCCCTGCGCCCAAAAAGGTGAGGCAAGAACCCTGCGACTAAACCCCATCTATGACATACAGCTCATGGCCGCAGAATCGCTCGGAATCGCCGACTCCTCACTGAATGTCTTGCGCGAGTGAGGAACTTTGGGGATCCAAAAGGGTGATTTGGAACGATCCAGAGAAACCCAAAACATCCCTCAAAGACCAAAACAGCCTGTACATCACTCCAATGCAGCACTCACTCCAAAATCGACTCTTTTTGTTGTATGAAAAAACCATAATGATACCATACCCTAATGATATGATATGGATAACCATCCCCTTCCATTTTCATCCCATTCACCAACTCAGCGCTCCTTCTCCTTGGCCCGGCTCGGCTCGGCCTTCTCCAACGCCTTCACGGCGCTGCGCCGCACCCCGCCGTCGCGGTCCTCAGAGCGCGCCAGCAAGGCCTCGGAGTCCGGTTCGCCAAAGATCCCGAAACATGAGACCCAAGGGAAGACATGGTGAACCACCATGAGACCCATGGACATCAAATTCGTGGTGGTCACATGGTTCTTGTTGAAGCAAGTGGAGACAAAACAATCAAGACTCCTTGAAGGGGATTGGTTCAACAACTTTTCCGCAAAAATGGGTTTGCCTCAGCCCCCAGATGTGGAGAGCGTCTTGCCTTATTTGTATCCCAATCCACGCCCCGTGAAACGTGATGAAATTGGGAGGGCTACTGCTCCCATTTGCAGTCCTATCAAATCAGGAACACCTTTGGACCGGATACATCTCTAAACCACCAGCTCCTTGCGTAACCACAACGAGATCCATGGGACGGCAAGATTGGCCAGCACACCAACTTTTTGCACACCGGTTCTTGCACTTCATCCACAGGGTTGGTCCATTCTCTATGCTGCTGAGGATGCCCTCCCTCGCGGTGTTTCCGCCCGTTCTTGGCCGCTCCCGTTTCCGCACGTCCGCCGAGGGCGCCGAAAGCACGCGCGCATTGGACTTATTGGAGACCTCCGGAGCCGACGTCACGGTGCTCCCGCTCTCGACACGGTGCTCTCGACCTCAAGAATGCTCAAGAATGCTTAAGAGACATCTTAAGGCATCGTGTGTAGGGGTTGAGAGAATACTCAAGAATGAACAGGTGTAAGAATAGTGGAGGGGTTGAACAATGAAGTTCCCTACAATGGGGTTGAATGAACAGGTGGTTTCGATGTCTCAGTTCCCAGTTCGTTCACCTCATAAACCTTGAGACACTTCGTTCTTCAGCATGCCCTCCTGCTTTTCGGCGCACCTGCCCTGCTGCAGCGCATGCCACCCGGCGCACCGAGGCATCGGTGTCGCTGAAACGAGCCTCAGACGGAGCCCGAATGCGCAGAGGATGCCGGAGGAGCCAAGGAGACAAAGACCAAGCATTCCGATGTTGGTCCCAAGGTGATAGCAGGTATGCCCATTCTATCCAAGGTGTGCAATCTTGGACCATCGTTCGACCCCACTCACGCGAGGTGTTTATTTCAAGCGCTCGCACGGCGCTCGCGAGTACTCTGCTGGCTGGGCTGCCCGACGATTAAGGCTTCCAGGACCTCCTCATCTCCTTTCCTGGCCACCTGGCTCGCCGGTGAGTGCTCTCAGCGAGCACTGCGGAGTTCGGTCGGCGGGTTTTGGTCGGGGCCGTTTCGGCCGTCTAGTTCGAGGCACGAAGAGTCCGTTCTGTTCGAGTGGTTCAGCACGAGCGAGCTCGGAAGAGTCCAAGCGCTCGCCACGAACAAGTAAAATATCCTGACGTTCTTGTGCATGAAGTCCAAGCAGCCCCAGTACAAAAAAAAACATATTTACATAATTCATAATTATAATATATAATGAGATATAGATATTGTTATGGGACCACCCTCTCGTGGGTCTGGCTTGACGTAGCTTATACAATTTAAATACAACAAGGTCCTTGTATTCAACATTGGCGGCGAGCAAAGGGTTCGGACACGACTCACATGCCATGTCACAGACATGTGTTGCGCCATCTGTGCAAGAGTAAAAATGATTTAGATGTCCTAGATGTCATGTGGTGCCACTAGATGTCCTCCGGAGGTTTCTTCCGCAATCACTGGCCTCTTTGTCAGTTCGAAACATCTCTCTCTCTCTCTCTCTCTCTCTCTTCTCTTGAAGTGGGTGTGTCTTTAACAGGGGGACCCTGGTCTTTGCGGTTTCATGCAGTCGACATGCGGTGGCCACCCCCAGCGTGAGGCGTGAGTGTTTCCACAACACCCAATGCCTGGGAGGGATCCCTATCTCAAACAGTAAGTCTTTCTACCCTCCTTGACGCTCACCTGGCTCCTCACTTGACCGAGGCCCAGGGGCCAGGGTCTGTCTGGAGGAGTGCTGACTTCAGCGTCTCAGCAAGGTAGAAAGACTCAATTGACCCCAATAGAGAGTCACCATCGGTCAAAATCATCCTGACAGTCCTCACAACGAGGCAACCAAAAAATGGCTGAGCACAAGGCGGGACACCTGTCACAAGGATTACCCTCCGAAAGTTCTGAACTTGAGTCAGCCCAAATACACTTTGTCTCACTAACATGGAAGTGGAGTTCACCCCTCCAGTGTCTTCGACAGTAGAGGACCATCGTCTTCCAGGGTCCCAAAATTGTCCACCTCCATGTGAGTTTTCGTCCGAGTGTATCCAGGTCGGGGATCACCCTTAACGCCCCTCAGACCCCCACCTGCCCCAGACTGGTGGCTGCCGCCAGGCGCACGTAGCTGTTCTGGTCCTCACCGCGCGACGGTAGCAGTCTGGAAACGCACGCACCCACCTCCGAGAGGGGAGATCAGTGACTAGATCAATGGACGAAGTATCGAACATCCATGTACATCCATTGCCATGTAGACTCTTGAGGACCATCACTACCTTTTCCCAATTGAACTTTATAAACCTCTTCTAGCCCCGGGGCGTTATTCATCAAGTGTCAAGAGTCTACATATCAATAAGCTATGAGACTCGCTTGAAGTCCAAGCGAAGTCTCAGGTCTGACTCGCCCCTCTGCCCCCACGTCAGTTCCGCCAGAGGAACGCTTTGGACGCTGGGACGCGAGGGACCGTTCACGGCGAATCCACACCCGCACCCGCGCGTGTCGCGCGCACCCGCTCGTGCGCGCGTTGCCTGGATGCCGTTCAACAACGGAGGCACCGCACGGCTCGGTGTCTTGGTTTCACGGCCGAGACCTTGACAAGCCGCCTGAGATGGGTCAGACGGGTCGCAAAGAAAAAACATCTTAAGAACTGGAGTCACATGGAGTTGGGTGGTACAGTATTTAGTCCCATCCAGTGAGTGGAGTAGCTGGGCACCCCAACTTCCTCCAAGTTCGGCACCCCGTCTTGTGACTGGGAACTGGATCTTGATGGGTTTGCTCAATGTGGAGCCTGCTTTGGGAAGTGGTTCCTTTGAGCTCTCTGATTGGGCCTTAGGATGGGCTCGTGGAGGCAACCGAGTAAACCCCATGATGTGGCGACCAAACTGTCTTGCACATCCTACAGCAGTATAGAATTACGCTCCCTGGAATGATCATGGAAATGGCAATATATGGTCCCCTTGGATCCCCTTGGATGACCATTAAACAGTGGTGATCCACGTAACCATGATGATTCCAGGGAGTGGACCGTCTACCGTCTGATTCCCGCATCAATCAACCCTTAAACCGTCTCTTTCAGACCGTTTTCCCCGTCGAAAACCCCAAGATTCCAAGTCTTTGACAGTTGCCAGTCGCCCAAACTGGTCAACGCATCTGGTCTCGTCCCACCCATCGTTCCACTCGCGTCGCCTGCCGGACATGGGGATCACAGCTACTCAGGTCATGGATCAACCTGGGCGTCGAGCTGCCGGAGGCACTCGGTGGAGCGGAACATCACGGAGTTGGCTGCGTTCGACATGGTAGTGCAAACAGTGGGACTTGCGGGCGTTCTTTGACTTGGCGTTTTGAAAAGGATCCACCCTGTCACTCGTGGAATGCCCTGCAACTCGTGTTCTTTTGGTGTGAATCCTCATCCATCATGCTTTCCAGATTCAGAGAACATGACTCACCCTCCCAAGACCCAGGTTCCATCAGTGCTCACTCCTCCACTTTAAGGAGCCTCGCTGTTTCTTTTCGCACATCCGAACAACTCTTTCACCCTTCCGACTGCACTGCGCTCCATAATGCTCCATATATATTCAGATACGTCCGAGGACTGGCTCCTCAGACTGATTCCCAGGCTCCCCCAACTCATCGGTCTTGTCACGCATCTGGCCCGTCACCGCCTCAAAACCCGCCCGGAGCCGCGGGGCGTTCCCAGAGCGGAGGGCGTTCCCCCAAGCAGATGGCCACGTTAGGTCGCATCTTTGGGTGACATGTCACCAGATGGCCATCCATCTGAGGTCGCATCCTTTTGGTCAACCAAAATGATGACTGCAGAAAAAACAACTCGCTGCTGGGGGCCCGCATCAAATGATGCTTGAAACCGGGTTGATTGATGAGAACCCCCTTTTTCTTCGCTCCACCGGTGGAGTCTGTGACGAACTCTGGACTTTCCGCGTCGCTCGGGGGTGCCGGCCGGAGTGGCATAGGTTGGCATCCCGACAGGTGTTCCCAAGGGAAAAAGTGAAAATGTGCTTTTGATCTGAACAATGTGCAGGTTGCATCATGACCATGAGAAGTGAGTTGCATCATGACCCACCTTCTGGAAAAGTGTGGAGTCTTCTACTTGCTGTGTGCAAGCTTGGAATGGATTAGAGGTGATAGCAAAGCATCTTAGCACCACCGGAGAATCCATGCTCCATTCTCCAGGGTGATTCAATCACGAAGGTCACCGTTTCAGGCAAACGGCCCGATTTGAGGCGTGTTGTTGCAAACCAAATCTCTAAATCAGTTCGGGTGATTCAACATGATTCAGCATGATTTTTGTACGCGGATTAAATTCTCAATATCTTCATTGCTCCTCTGCTCCTCTGCTCCACCGTCTTGAGCCACAAGAACCCGCGAACGGCCGCCATCAAAGTGGGTTCCCAAGGAGGATAGATCAAAAGCCAGTCTGGTTTGGGGGGAAATGAACGTCCAGTCAGCTGCTCTTTGATCATTCACCCAATATTTTGGATTCGACCAACGGCCAGTTCTTTGCGAAATGAACTAGGCCCTCTAGGCCGCCTGGAGCCATTGCGGTATCCTTCAGTGCTGTTGAATCAAGGAAAGCCATCTCAAATGGAGCTGGGTTCAAGTTTGGGTACCGGCAACACCCCAACAGTCTGAAACAAGTAGAAAATGAACCTGTCCTTCGTCAAACACCTGAACTTGTTCGGGAATTTAGAGTGTGACCGGGAATTCCAGGTGTTTCTGTGGATCTCTTCCGTCAAGTGAAGCGTGTCAAGTGCTTTTTCGCTTCATGGGTTAAGTCGTGCACGAACGACCTACCCAGCATGTTGCTGGGTTCGCCGAGAGTGAAAGCTGCATGCAGAGTCGGGTGGCGCAACCAGGCAGACTGCATGGCAATCTCACAACCAGTGAAATCAAGAACCAGCTGTTTTTACACCTGCTTGAAGTGTATCTGACTGGCAACTACGAACTTCCTCTTCTTCCGAAGAAACCCTTGAAAGGAGCTCCAAGCAAACTTCTGAGACTTGTCTATGACCCCTTGCCCCTGGCAGTGCCAACCCTGCAGTGCGGTTCGCAACACCTACCTTGGAAAGATTCCTCGTGCTTTGATCGGCTGCTTTCCAGGCCCAATTTGAGATCTCCAGGTTTCGCTCAGTCATGGCTCAAAACCCTTGATCCCCAGCGAAAGGCCAGGGGGGGGCCATGCTTCCGCATACCTCCCCTGATATTCACACCACCCTTTTCAGGCTTTGACTCCTTTCTCACGCAGGTCTAGGGAGCCGCCTGTCGAAAGCACTTAGTCGCGCCTGTCGAACGCCTCTCTCGCCTCTCGCCTCACGTCTTTGCGCGCGGAGCGGACCCGCCGTGAAACCTGGCGGAGGTCGCGGCACCGAAGCACGGCCCGACCCACACGGGCCGACCCACACGGCCCGAAAAGGGCGTCCGCGCTGAAGGCGTCGTTCCCGGGACCGCAATCCTCCCAAATGGAAACACTCCCTCGGAGCTGGTGGGCAGCGCAAGAACAAGACGGTCCAACGATGCCTCTTGACATCATGCCATCACTTTTCCACAGCCAATGTTCTTCGGAAATGACGTCTATGATTCCCTGTTCCTCACCAGGATTCACTAGGGATGGTGACAGTCACTCCTATCGTTGGAGGAACTCTAAAAGTTGCCTCTCCCCAGTGGCACAGCCTCACCTTCATTCATCCCCCCTAATTAGGCAGGCTACATGTAGATCTTACCATCGTCTCGTAGCTTGGACCACAATCAGCCAAATGTAAGATGCAACCTTTTCAGAAGAAACAAGGGCCTCTGATCTCGGACATCCACTTCGGTTCTACTTGGTCCACCTGTTGCTACCGCGCGCGCTACAAACCAAGCTATCTTCCCACAGCGACGTACATGGACCACAAGGCTTTCCACGACCCTCTCGTGTGTGTCTTTTTTTATCGCGCCTATGAGTAGCAGTTCCATACCATGATGGAATGGTCTAAACCTGTCACATCCAGCGAATCAAGCATTGGCAAATCAAGACTTTGCTTCTCCAGATTGATGGCCTCTAGATCCTAGGTCGTCATTTCTAGCCACCAAATGCCATGGCCAAAAGCTTGAGACAAATGCCAAAACTGAGCTATTCATTCCCACATGACAAGCTGGTAGAACAATGCTGGCAATGCAAACTCAGCTTCTCAACCATCCCTACTGGCTTGCCATGCTTATTGAAACTTGAGTACACGCTTCTGGATCACGTTGCTCTTTGTGCGAAAGCGGCAAGCAGCCACTAAAGCGAGTCGCTGCTTGCACCTTTTGTTGTCATCGCAATACAGTAAGAGCAACCATCCGTGGATTTGTTGGATGAATATGTTTGTATTTTTGTTGCTAGTAGCTAGAAGCTAGTAGTAATGGCCTTCAACCTAATAGTGATGCCCTCCAACCTAGTAGCTTCTTGCTACTAGTAGCGATACACTTAATATCACTAAATACTATATACATATTATGTACTCTGGCATGCAAAAGGATTTTTTGCATACGCGAAGAAAGCTAGAGCAAAAGAAACTGTGACTTCCCTTTCTAACCTCAGGATCTAGTTGTATGTTCCTCATCATTACCATTTATCTTTGGCTCCACCAATGACTAGAAAGTGCATGTTTGGCAATCAGCTTGGAGTTCAAACGCCCCTTGCACCCCAAATGTACGTGAGTGTCACCGGCTCTGTCAATGCACCACTAAAAAGGAAGCGACATCTGCCTACAGAGACGATCTGCTTCGCATCTGGGCTGAAGCTGATCTTCCTGAAGTTCTCGCTCGCTGTGGCCCAAGCAAGTCCCCAGCAAGTCCAGCAATTTCGATGTCCTCTGTGCCCTCAAGGTGGTCCCCATCTTTCGGTGTCTCAGAATGAGAATGGTCGAGTCGATGTCAAGTCGAAGGTCGGTCTCAGGTGCCCACTGGATGCTGCGTGAATGCCCAGCGCCCAGGGAAGAAAAGGCCACCTGCGCGCAAGCATGCGCGGACACATGCGCGCCATGACTCGGCAGACGTGCCGGCGGTACCGTGTGCCGTTCGAGGCGACTGGTACTCCTCAGGGGCTATAGGGAGACTGGTTGGGGACATTTGGGGATCCAAGGAGTGTGGGGTGTTGGCCATCTGTGTTCTCTTCCTTGCGGGATCTTTGGATTCTCAGACAACACTGGCTCCTATCGAGACGCGGCTTTGCATCCTACAGTACGATCTCTTCTTGACAAGGGAGAAGGATGGGAACATGCCAAACGTCTCCGCTTCGCATCCGCTTCGGGCATCGAGGCCGGGCCGGGCCTGATCATTGCGGATGTCCCAAACCTGCCAACACAAACAGACCGTGTCGCCTGCGGTTTCTTCGGTGCCAGTACCCAAAGCCCTCGATGCCACGATTCGTACCCAAGGGGCCCCTTTGGGCCTTCAAAAACACTCGAGTTGCTGGAGCCTTTCATCGAAGAAGGAAGGAAAAGGCCGTGCTTCAGCCACACCTCTGCACTCTCTCTGAACCATGCTCCGACCGTTCCGCACCTTCACCACCTGTCCGGTGCCGCCAGTCGCCAAAAAGGCATCGTCATGGCTGGAGCTCACACTCAGCACCTGGCGTAGCTGGCGTAGCTGGCGTAGCTGACGGCTGAAAGGCGGATGCCATGAGGACAGGCGGATGCCATCCCACGTGGTTCACACGCTCCGTCCTTTGAGAACCAGATAGAACCAGAACCACCAGTCGGTCCGGTTGCTTCCGGATCAACACGTGGTTCACACGCTCCTACCGTTCCAACCACCCGGACATCCGATTCAGAGAGGCCACAGATCGACCGTTCCACCGGGCGCAATGATCCATCCCCCAAGTGGTTTCAGGTGATTGCACCCATCCTTATTCGCCTTATTCCTGATCTGGGTAGTAGGCGCAATGCCAGGCGCGCAATGGCCAAGTGATGGGTGAAAGACCTGATCTAGAGGTGAAATCCAACGCCGCCGCGGCGTGAGAAACCGCGGGCGCTTTGGGATAGGTCTCCTCCCCGGGCGCCTGGGTGGCCAAGGAGTTGGATGATGGTTTGAATGTGCTTCTGATGTACGGCTTCACCCACAAAAAGATCCAGAAAAATAAGACACACCCCCGAAATCCCACCTGACCTCCCTTTTGGAAGGGGAAGAACCTGGAAAATGGGCTTCATTGTTAAAAATCACACGGGAACTTCAATCTGTGAGGTCAGCATTCTGCTCGCGAAAACCACGGCGGCAACGGAACAGTTCCTGCGGCGTGGCGCGCCTCTTCATCCAGATCGATGATGCGCACCGGGTCGGCCATGCGCAAATCCCAGGTGGTCAAGGTCTTTTCTTGCCTCAGAAGTGGTGAAACAACTCAAGGAAGCTATGAGCACGCACGGAGGTCAGGCCATCGCTACTTACTATGGTATAGAAACTATAAACATGTTCGTCGCCTCAGAATTGGAGCCATCCGTTTGGTGGGACTCGCAGGTCCGTTCCTTCTCTCTTTTTTGCCCGGTCCTCGCATGGACCGGGCAAGGAGTGCAGGTTCGGAGCAGTGAGGTCTTCACTTCGGACACGCGGGGCGATCGGTCGATGGATCGATCTCTGTCCGGTCTGGTCTGGTCTGGTCTGGTCCTGTCTGTCTGGTCTGCCTATCTGGGGACACTGGGGACCTGTAGAAAAGAACGGTCTTTTTCTTGTGAAATTCGTCCATCTGAGAGCACCCTGGTCAGACCCTCAGGTCACCCCGGCCCTGCTGTGGTCACGGTGGTCTGGTTGGAGGCCACGGTGAGGCAGTTGATGCCACCGTGCCTTTCTCGAAGCCACGACAAACTCTCGAAGCCAAGAAAGAGGGACTCTCGGTCAAGATCCGGAAAGGATGACTTATTATGCTTCACCCTCCAAATTTATAACCGAAGCCAAGATTCAGAATTTGAATAAAGAATCTTAATTAAGCCAAGTTAATCATTAATCAAATTGTTAATTGAATTCAGTCTAAATTCTACAGTAGATCGGTGTTCAGACTTGGAACTGCTTGAGTACGATCATGTCATTCCTTTCGAAGAGCGCTCCGGAGGTCCCACAGTATAGCTCGACGATCGCATGAAGGAATCACTAAGGGGTGCCGAGCATGGAGGATAGGAGTGCCCATGATCCACTCACTTAGGGACTAAAAAGCACCCTTTTGTGACTCTTGGTATAGCTTTCTAAGCTTCTGTTTCCTTTGGCATTAAGCCTTCGGGGCAGCCCGGGGGGACATGGTTTCCACCCAAATCAAGTCCTGAACGAAGGACGATGCCACCAGCTCTCCGAGAGTCCGGAGGCCCGATCCGATCGTCCGATGGACACCACATACACTTCGCTCGGTCCTATGGTTGTACGGTATCAACATCTCCCCCACAAATTTCAGCCAGTCCGGATCTGCCCCTGAGTCCTGGTGCCCCAGATCATCTTTCAAAAAATATATTACAATAATAACTACATGTTGAAAGGAAGCACCAAAGTCTATGTAAAGACTTTGCTGTCCTTTCTGAAGTCCTTTTTCTTTTAAGCATCAGTGGGCCAGGGCCTCTTTTTCAGTCCTCTCATGTCCTCTCCACTGGCCGCGCCTCTCCCGGTGCGAGGTGAGCCGCTTCTCCGCCCGAAGATCCTCATGGTCGTTGGGTCGATTCGTTGCCAACGGTGAAGCGACCATTGAATGAACGGTATGTCTTCCATTCGAGAAGCGGTAGAACTGATCATGTGAGCGTGTCTTCAAATAGGGGAGAAGAAGGAGAAGGTTCGGAAGAATCGACCAGTCCACCATCCGAACACTCATTGGGCCAGGGGGTCTCCAGCATCATCCAATACACACCCATGTCGATTCCCTGAGACCATCGTGGAAGTGGAACAGTTCGGCCCCTGGAAGACCCCTTTTTTCTCCAAATACGAGGGGAGGTCTAAGTCTGAGGTGAGGGGTGGGCTCCTGACGATTTATCACCCATCAGATCCAGAATGGCTTTAGATCTCCAGGCAGGCCCGGGGGGGTCTTCATCAAGCATCTACATTAGATGAGTGAATTGTTACGGCAACTTCTTGGAGAAGCTTGAACATGGGGGGCATTTTTGCGGTCAGCAAGATTGGAGTGGGATAATTTGTTCTTGTTCACCGTCCAGTACCATGATGGTTGACCCACACACCCCGTTGGCGGTCCAATGCGGGGCAAAAAAGCTCAGCAATCGGCCACTCACCACCGTCTCGTCCGGTAGAGGGTCACCATGCGTCAGCATGTGTTCAGTCAAAAGTATGGACATCTCAGTGACTCAGGTCTTACTTCGGATATCACCCGGTCCATCTCAAGGGAGGGGAGGGCGGGTGGCTTCATACATGTCTGCTCATGTATGCAAATGGGGGGGACAGGTGATGTTCGGATCTGGGTGACTCTTTCATTGCTAGTAACATCTAGTACTGTCCTTGTTCCGTTCGTAGTCATGACAGGAGCGCCCCTACTAGCTTCTTGCTCCATTCGTAGTCACGCGAACTCTGGCGCCCTCATGCGCCACCACTCCGCCCCCAGGGACCCCGGCCCAGGTGAGGAGACACCGATCCCGGCTCACGGAGATGGCGTACTGGTCGTTGGGGAAGAGCCTCGGTTCGGGGTCCAAGGTCGACCGGGAGCGGCGCGGGGGGGGACGTCCCGAGGCGTTTTGGTGGGGAGACGGTGGGGGGTCGGAGCACTGGCTCACTCCCAGGCAAAGGCAGGTTAGAGAGATGTCAAAGGCAGGTGGCTCTCAGACGGAAACAGTGAAGTTCCATGGACAAATGAATGTAAACGCCGAATCCTTCTCCCATGCCTTCGCCCAGAAGTGGAATCGGCCCTGCCATCGGAAACCCGCCCGCCACTGGCGGTTCCCAGCTTAACGTCGTTCACTCGCGCGTTGTGCTCCTTGAGTGTGGAGACCATTTCTCGCCTTGGTGGATGGAGACCGGAAACGGTTGGAAGTGGTCAAAAGGGAGGCCCACTTGTCCGCCGATCAGAATGTGTTTCCAAACGATGCTTGGATGTGTATCCGACTAGGAAGACCAACCGTTCTTGTTTTTTTCCTTCGTCCAGGGGATCAAACTGGTGGGTCTCCCTTTCCATATAGAACCAGATCATTTCTTGCAACCCCCTAATTTGTGTGTCTTGGGTGTGACGAATATTCTTGGGAGCGTCTCTCATCACCTGGGTCTGTCGGTCTGTGTATCCTGAAACAGTCTTTCAGGTATCTGCCTCATTCTCCATTCACATCCATTCACCATGTCCACCTGGAAAGCGTCCCAGTCTCACCTGTGGATGATGCTCAAAACGATAGACCAACAAGAGGTCCCGAAATGCTGATCCCAGTCGGCGCGTCAATTTGACATCATCCACCAACACCAGCTTTGAAGAATATCTTCAGTGGAGCATCAACCAGAAACTCAACGTCACATTTTGCAAACATCAAGCTTATCAGGGATTATATGGGAAGAACTTCCGCTGACTGGCGCGCCAGTCGCTGCAGAAAGACCTTTTTGCTCCCGGAATCCTGCTTGGAGTACTGCTTCGCCGCGCTTCGCGGGGCTCCAGGAATCCTTCGACTTCTATTCATCTTCCGCGTCTTGTTCAGCCTCGGCGTTGCCTTGACCTCAGCACAGATGTGTCACAATGTTTCACAGTGAGGCGTTCTAATTTGTGGCAAAAGGTGCGGATGAAAGAACATGAAAGAACTTCAGAAGCATCTGGAGTGCTTTGGAGCAGTCTCTTGTCGCTTCAGACTCTTGTCTCACTCACAGGAGCCCCAAACGACCGAACTCCGTGTCCGACCCCCTGCAGTCAGAGCCACTTCGCGCGAAGACATAGACCTCTCAAGCGGGTGGGACATGTCAGGCGACCGGTGGGAGGTCGGCCGGTCTGCAGAGAGCAGAGTTCGTCCTACATTGCATGACGGTCTTTCACAAGTGTGTCGTTTGCCCCACCTGAAATCGCATCTTTGGAATCCGACAGATCGCCCAGGGCGAGAAAACCATACCAATCAGCATCCACATCTGCATGTTACATCACCATACCACGCCCCAGTTCAAGGCCGGGCAACCACCTTTTCTACCCATTGCTAACCTTATGGTCTTTACAGCCAAATGGTGTCTAGGTCACGGTCCCCAGCCAAGACTTTAGAACTATAATCCCCTCGTGTTCCCCTTCTCCGCCACCACGCGGGTCATCCGGTCGACCCACGTCCGGGGGCGCGGGGTGGTCACCCGGTGGTCGACCACGTGGACGGCGGGGGACGGGGTGCTTTCGGAGGTGAAACGGCTCAAGGCGAAAGAGGTTGAGCCCAACGTGATGGCCATGAAAAGGCCTGCATCTCAATGGCCCATTTGGCAGGACCATGTGTTCTAGGACTTTCAGATGCATAGCAAAAACAGGGATGGTGAGGTGAAGGTTTTCAACTGCCCCAGACTTCGCTCTCGTCCCACCTTGGCACCTTTGGCCAGCTCTTCGTTGTCCTTCGCTTCGCTGTGCTCCAAATGTGCTCGCCCGGATCATGCAGACCCGCCCGGATTCAGACATCACCCAGACACTAAACCACATCATGCTTTCATCATAAGGGCATCATGTGGATATGAAACGACGTCCACATAGGTCTCCATTGTCCAAGGACTTCTTCGATGACCGATGTTCCAAAAGGACATGTGATCGGGCTCAAAGGTCTCTCTGGTCATTTTTATGTATAAAAGCCAGGGAAAGCAGTCTGCAGCAGTCCGGACTACAAAAAACGGTGACCGTCTAAAGTCTAAATGAACCTAGACCTAGACCTATGAGTTTCCTATGAGTCCTATGAGTTTCCTTAGATTGAAAGTGCGGAAACCCATGAATTGTCCAACTGTGCCCTGACAAATTCCAGAGGCCCAAAATGGCAGGATTCAAAAAGGCCGGTACAGGTTGGAAGCGCTGGATTTGGCGGCCACGTGTCCAGTGCGATATCAAAACGATGGCCCAACAAATTGGGGCTGTGTCAGGTAGGCAAAATCATGTTCGATTTATGAAGTTCCAACGGACCTACAGAAAGAACACCTCCCCAACAGCAAGAACAAGCCTATCAAAGGGTGCGATAGGCACTGCCTTTATCTAAGTGGTGGTCCTATCCCTGTGTTCAGTGGAGGGACGCGGCATTTTGGCACTGCATGAAGCACCCAGCTCCTTCTTGGAGAATCGCTCGTTGAAGCCTCGTGTGCGCCGGTGCTCGTAGCCTGGCAGAAATGCGTCTGATGTGGATCACCCAATGAATTGAAGGAAGAAAAGCTGAGGATCACGGAGATCAGATGGGACAGGCAACATTGGCTCGGTGAACCGGAGACGAAGATTTGCGGGCTGTGGGGTTGTGCTTTTTGTTGAGGAAGCATAGGAGATATCGTTGGCCCTCACCTAACGGGTTTGGGGGAGGCATGTGATTTCTTCCATCCGTGTGTATTGTACGTGCTAGACTCTCGACTGTCTTGTTGGGGGCTGTGTAGATCGTGTCATGAAATACACCCTGGAAGACTAACATGGAACCTGAAAACCACTGGGTTGTAGAGGAAGATAGTCTTCCATGGGGCCATTCTCAGGGTCTATGTTAGTTTTCGGGAGTGTAGATTGAGATGCAATGTCCAAGTAGTTGCCCTGTCTACGCTCCCCAAAACCGCTGACCCGGCTTGACTTTCCGGTTCTCAGCTTCCTAAGCTAGAGACCATCAAAGCTTGGGATTTTGTCCATCTCGTTCCCTGTCTTCTATATCAATGTCCAAAAAAGCTTGGGAACCAGCCACCACAGGAATCGTAAGATAGTTATCAGCTTCTCAAGCCCCACGACATACTACAAACCCCATCCATGTGGAAGGAGGAACGGGAAGTTCCTCACCTCCAACCCCCCGCAAAAGATCCGAAGCACTCACTCGCCTGGCCACGCGCTCAAGGAGAAGGGCACCACCTTCTGCAGCTGGAGCACTCCATCCGTGGACACCTCTGCTCCCAGCTCGCCCCAATCGGAGCGGAAAAAAACAAAAAACGGGCCCGGGAGGGAAGGATTGGGGGGGAAAAAAAGACTCGTAGGGATTTTGCACCATCCAAACTTGCTGCATAAAGGATTGACACCTTTGGCATCACTTGGCCAAGGCCAATTGATGAAGTCATGCGTGGGAGACCATACCATATGGCCATCTGACTGGCCATCTGGTCCAAGAATCGGGTGTTCCTGGTGAGAAACTCCAAAAATAAAAGGTGGACATGGCCTCATGCCTCATGCCCTTTCACCGGTGGATGTTCATTCGTTGGGTCACTTTCAGTTGGCCGTTTTCTCGGTCGCGACGTCCTTCCGTTGAGAAAAGAAGACCGGCTTTGGGCACTGAGAAAAGGCATGAGCGATACTTGAGAGACCTGAGATGGTTTCTCTTGTTTCTTCTCGTGATGTTCCATGATGTGGACCATGGAAAAAGGGCGGGATCACCACAAACAGGTTCGCTGAGGGAAAAGAAGAAAGGTAGGCCCAAACCCCGCAGCAACTTCCTCCTTAAATCAACTTATAGTCACATGTATGTCAATGTCCATCTGCCATGGGGTCCCGAAACTGTCAAACCCCAAGCCAAACAAAAGGGCTCAAGCTCCCGCAAAAACCGGAACATCGAGCAAAAGACCATGGAACATGACACAACTCTTCCTCACAGGCGGGGTGATCATCATACGCTCGAAAAACGGTCCTAAGACTGCACCCAACCACACGCGCCACGGCCCTCTCCAGCCAGCCACCTTGGCCAGCTGCACAATCTTCCAGCTCTTGTACGGCTCACCTTCCCTGCGATGTGCGGCAAGGACTCTGTAATAGAATCGAAATCAGAAGCAAATTCCAGAATCGAAAGGGACTGTTGATCGACACCCTTGACATCCCCTTTTCCATCCTGTTCCTATGTATTTTCCCTCCAATAACCCCCCCGAACTCCGTGGTGTTGGAAATGATTTGGACATTCTGCCTCCACTGCCTGCACTAAACACGTGTCCGGCAAAGCCTTTGTAGGTAGTGAACTTCAACTGTTTCAGAAAGAGTGAGAAGACATGTCCGACCTTTCCATTAGAAGCCACAAATCAAGAACTGGCTTTTTTCATGGGCGTCGAAAACCTGGTCGAAGCCCTTCACTGCGTTGTTTCACGGCTCACGACCCGATCAGCAGTATTTCCTGTTCGAGGAGATATCCAACGTCTGTTGACAACCTCAAACATCCTTAAAGATCTTAAAGATCCTAAAGAACCAAACAATCCACAGGCTTATCGCCTTCAACCAAGCGCAGCATCCAGCTCAGCTGGAAATTTTCTAAAAAAGAACGAACCAGGACTTTGGATGCCGCAACTCTCCTGCGTTTCGCCCCCCGGTGTCATCCGGTACCGGCGGTTTCGTTCTCCGCGTCTCAGTCGGCCCCGTGGCTCGCCCCGCGGGTGGCCGGGCTTCATGGCCACATGCACCGTGCCCTGCTCATCCAAACAACGCAGCGCGGACATGAAGAAGGCGCTCAACAGCTTTCCTTTGTCACGGGCGTCTCGGTCACTTTGACCGGTCGAAAAGGCCCGGGTGGATTCCCGTCGCTCGGCTGAAGTCGATTGACACGTAAGATATTCGGGCAATGCCAGGAACTTGGCAGGGAACTGGTGATAGTTTGAAGTCGTTTCCCCATAATAGACTCCATAAGAAGCTCTGCCTCCTAGTATCAAAACCTTTGCACTCGGAGGTCGGAGGTGTTGATTTTCCAAGGTCCTTGGAGCAGTCCCCCCCATTAAATCGTGAACCAATGGCGATGCCCAGCACCTCCGAGTCGCTTCAATCCTTGGACCCGGTGCTCCGGTGCGCGCGGGTCTCGGTGCGCCCAGGCTCGATGGAGATCATTGTTCTTCTCCACGTCCTTCTCGCCAGCACCCAAATGAGGGAAGTTCCACAGGATGATGCTGAACGCATCGCGGAATTCTCTCCTCAGCGGTGGTTGGAATTCAGAATCTGAAAGAGTTCACCGGTGTTCTTCCGCCAGTGAACACGCGTGCGATACTGGAAATCGGTCGGACGCTTCTCCAGCCCGCTTTTTCGGGGGGGGTTGGGGATCGGACCCATCTCTCCAGCCCGCATATACGAATGCATCACATTGTTGTGGGAAACCCACTGTTTGTGAAGAAAATCATCTCCCAGCAGGGCCTTGTGGAGCGCAACAACGCTTTGATGGTTTGAGGCAGCGGTGAACCTGCATCCTCCTTTTGGCAGCGGGGATTGATTTTGGACATGGCTTGGTAGTCTTTAGCATAGTTCACCTAAGGCATCCAAAGACCATACCCAAAGCCTGTTCCAATCAACTCCTCCTGCGCAAATGGCATCATGACCTCATCATGCTAAACCACCTGGTCGCCTGTGCCCACACTGAAATCTCGCTGCCACGCATCACTTTGTGAAGCTTCGTGGCATCCACATTGAGCAGCGTGGTGCCACCCTTCTCCTCGACCTGCTTCTGCAGCTCTACGGCATCCGGGTATTTCCTGGCCGAATGGGCCAACCAATAGCCGATCGAAACTGGATGAATGTCTGTGCAAGAGAAGAAGTAGATATATTAAAGTTATATATACATGCAGTCTGCTTTAAAAAAGGGAGGACTATCTATACACCTCTAAGGGGCATCCTACCCATGTGCTATGATCAGATTTGTGTGCCGCGCCGGCATGGATAGTTTTTAGCCCTCCCCTGCTCCAGTCCCTCCGTTCTGGAGCCCAGTACCGTAGGCTGCGTTCTTTCTGCGAACACTTCCAAGACTCCGCTTCAAGGTCGCTTCACCATCAAAGGCACTGGCATAGATTCCGTCTCCTGGAAGCGCACAATGGGAACCACCACCACGACTGGAACCGCATGAGCAGCTAGCTTGGTTGATCTCTTGCTCTTCAACTCAGTGTTGAGGAACATGACACACACCCTTTCTTGCCATATTGTACCTTCCAATCCAATCTGCTACCTTCTAAAGGATTCTTGCAGCTGTGCCTGAACCGCGCACTTCACATAGGGCACGCGCAAAGCTAAAGTTGCCTCAGCCATGCTCCGCTTTTTCCGAGCCACGCCGAACGCCGCACGCTTCGGCGTGCGTGTCGAAGCGCGTCGGACCTAGCCGCGGTTCGTATTGCTTCGTCACCAGCCGGATCTCCCTAGTGAAGTTGGGTGGGATGTCCCAACAGCCAAGGCTTCTTTGTTGGAACGGATGCTTTGAATATGTGGTGCTTCTTCCCTCACACCCCCGCCTTCGCCCACCAACAGCACGCGGCCCGAACCGGCGTAAAGCTCGCGGTGCTGCCGCTGCTGATGCGCTTGCTGTCGCGCCTCCTGATGAGATCAGGAACGGCCACAAGGAATGAGACGTTGACCTGCATGTTCATTTGTAGGATTTTCAGCTGTGGGGGTGTCTATGTGACCCGTAGAACAAACCAAGTGCCTGACCATGCAGAGCACGCCAGGAAGGACTGTGATTTCTAGGGAATCAGGGAATGTCAATAAGAGCACCGGCTCGCCGTGCCAAGCGCGAGCGCTTCAAAGGAACCCTTTCCTGAAGAAAGTGAAGTCTTCTGGTCAGTCCGGGTGGCCGATGATGATCGTGCGGCACACCATTATGATGAGGAGATCAGCCCCACTGTCCAGGTTCCACTCGTCTTCCCACAAAATCATCGGACAAAGTGGAATTCCCCATCTTCCACCTGGCCCAGTCGCACCGGCACCACCTTAAACCTTCTTCAGTGTCGGGGAACCGACCTGCCACCCCCCACAAGTTGGCCACGTGCGTTGGCGCCGTGATGGCGTCGTGCCACGTTGGCGTGCCTTCTTGGCCAGCTTCTTCTCTTTTTGCGACCGTTGGGAGCTTTGCCCTGGCGACGTCGCAGGAGTGCGGTTCCAAGGCCCGACAGACGGTCCGGTTGACCCGGTTCGTCCATCCAACTGGTCCAAACGAGAGTGTATAGGGGGGGGTGTAGGGATGTGTTTTCCTGTAGGGATGGTGTTTTCCGGGTGAGTTCTTTCAGCACCAAATCCCTCCTGAACTGGAGTCTCAAGCCTGGACTTGGAGCTTCAGCTGCGCTCTCCACCTACGTGGCCCAAGAGGTCGTGTGGAGAGGTCGAAGAAATAAGAAGGATAGATGGCCTGTAGCCTCTGTAGGCCTACAAGTAGGCCTAGAGCAGATGGTATCAAACTCCGAAATATGATCTGTATTGACATCCAATAGAACTGGTAGGCAGCTTTGCACAACTCTGAACCTGCTGGAGCCCACCCGATCGGAAAGAAAAGCAGCGACCAGCATCCAGGGAGAAGGTTTTTCCTCGGCCAATCTGACACAAATATGTCGAAACCTCTTGGTGCAAAGGGAGCTTCTGGCCACAAAGAACATGCCAACCTCTTTGAGAGAACCCATGTTTCCTTTGAGTTTGAACGAAAGATCTGCCCGTAGGAAAAATGCCCTAAAGTGCCTATTTGGGTAGAGTCTAATGCACACAACATGTTGGGTAGTGTCACGCCTTTTTCGAGCTGCGTCGCGAGAAAGGCAAAAAAACTCTCCCGACTGCTCCCAACCTTCGCCCTTGCCCTCTTCGTCGTGACTTTGGCCTTCGCCAGGCCCTAAGGCTCGATCTCCAACAAAGATAGTAGCTTCTTGTTACTAGTAGCGATATGTAGTGATGGCCTCCAACCTAGTAGCGATGGCCTCCAACCTACTTGCGATGGCCTCCACCTAATAGCGTCCTGGTACTCATCGTGGATTCCAATGCAAAATAACCATTCACCATGACACCTCTTGTCTGACCACCGCAGATGTAGAAACAACATCAACACCCGGGTGAAACGTCCGGATGCTAGGAGTCGTGGACGAGGATGCTATGCGTCGAGGAAAAAGCCATCGAACGAAGCCTTCGTGGGGGTTTCACGTTGACTGGCTCCACCTCGGGTCGTTTCATCGGGGGGGAGGACCCCCGTGAGGTCGTTTCATTGGGCGCGGCCACAGGGGCCGTTTGACGGAGGGTCCTAAGAGTCGTCACAGATGTGCCAGTGACACCTGTGCCTGGTGACACTACGATCATCCTCAGGTTTGGAGTTGATCTTAGTGCCAAGTCGACCCAATTGGGATGGACCAGACTGAAGCTTTTTGGGACTATGTCCTCCCCAAGTCGTCCAGTTACTCAAAACCCTGTGCTGCCAGAGTACTTGGCTCATTCGCACCAACACTCCTGGTCACAGTGCCCTGACCAGGCAACCGACCCCCCTTTTTCAGGGGCGTCACCCCCAAAAGCTCTATGATCCATCGTTGATCATCGTTGCATACAAATGCAGAAGGCGGGAGCTCAGACAGACCTCCAAAACCAGCCCACCGACGTCCCGATGAAACAACAGCGGAAACTCTCTTGGCCCAGCCACGGCGGCCGCTTGGGCCGCCGCGGCCGCTTGCGCCGCGGCTTCCTGGCGTATGGCCTGCGTTCGTGACGCCCGCCGGCGGAGTCGTAGGAGCTCAAAAGGGAGTTGCAAATGCAAGAAGAAACAAAAGGCAGGCTTCAAAGAAAAGTGCCAAACGGGGCCTGTTTGATGACCAGGTGCGGTCTTTTGGGCCGCTCAACAAACTGAATAAGCTTCATGAATTTACGGTACACCAACAACATTCCTCGCATTCCTCAGGCAAGGAATCATGAAACCACCCTCCACAACCAGCTGCCGCGCTCAGGAGCCCAAAAAGGCCTTCTTCTGCCACTTTTTCAGTCCGGCCAAGGGATTTTCATCCCTGCCACCAGTGTCATCGTGCGCGGAAGCGCGTCTCTTCGCACGCGGGCGGGCATCGTGAAAGGCATGTTCTTCAGCAGTGTGTTGGGACAGTTCCCTGAGGCCACCAGACCAGCTGACCAGGGAGTGAATCGTATACCCAAGTTGCAATGTTGTTGGCCCCTCTTCGTGTGCTATGCACGGTGTGAAGACTATATAAAGCAGGCCCGCGTTTTCTATGCGGCTTGCGGGTGTCCTTACCCCAAACATTCCACCTCTGCACTGCTCAAGAAAAGAACATGCAGAACCACAATTGACTTTTAAAATGGATTGGTCTCAGTGGGAATCATCTGGCTTCGTTGAGAGGTGTTGTCGAGTTTTCTGCCTCTCTTCTTCTCGCTTGGCCTTTTGGGCTGCCTTTTGTCTTTTCCTGGGAGTCGAAAGCGAACAAAAGACCTCCAAAGAAAGGATCAAACAAACAACCAAAATGATGTTATATAGCCCTGCCAAACCTCAGTCTGGACGCTGTAGAAACGACTCTTAAGTTCCTTCTGCTTTAGCAGCAGAAATTCATCTTGTTGGAGGTTTCCACTCTACGTGTCCTCAAGCATAGACAAAGCCAAGCCCACCAAACACCCTATTTGTTTCCACAAAACAAACACCAAGAGGGCGCATGGGTAACACCTCCAGCCATCAAAGCCTCCAGCACCTCTGACATGTCTCGTCCTTCACCTCCAACAGACCTATCGACCCCACAACCAGATCCCAATCTCGATCTCCGCACCCCAAAACCATGCAAGTGGCTTTTCTTTGTCCTGTTTAAACTGTTTCTTCAAGCTGGACTTTTTGGCTGAGCGCACCCCTTTCAGCAGCTTGTGCGCCATGGCAAAGCCAAGCACAAAGAGGGTATAGGTGTTCTTTGGCGTTGATTGGCGAGAACTGAAGTGTGTCCTTCCGAAAGGTTGCAAAGCTCGGGCCTCTTGTGTGAATAAACCCTGCACTTGTGTCTCTCCAAGTAAGGGATCTCCGATTCGGGCCCATGCCAGCTGAACCGGAGATCCTGAGAGGTCTGTTTGACATCCCTAAGTCACCACCCCAGGCCCTCCCCAGGTCCTCCCCAACCAGGTCCCACTTGACTTGGATTCAGTTGGATCTGGTGAAGTTGGAGGTTCAGCTTCATCACTTGGTGAAGTGTACCAAGACCAACCCAGATGAAAATCAGGGGCGAGGCGCGAAGCGTGAAGCTGGCCTCTGGGATTGAAGCTCTCTACCACAGGATTCACGGTTGAACTTCTTTATTTTGGGCTTGAGAAAGCCAGCTGCGGCACACCAGCGGAGTTCCAAGGTTTCTGGTAAAATACAAGGGTCACCGTGTCGCCAAGTCAAATGGTTGCAAGAATCTGCAACAATTTCGCGAATGTGCCGCTGTTCCACTCAGCAGCCAGTCAGGTCTTGCTGGGACATGTTGATGTGTCCATCCCATGCTTCATGCACAGCAACACAACAGGCGCGAGACGCTGCATAAGACCCTGTTGTCCCAGTTCCAGGTACCTAAGACTTACAAGATCTCTAGACCTCGCCCTCATCGTCCGACCAGACCTCACCCTCATACTACTGGTTGAAGATCGGTCTACTCCGCCCTGGACTCGGTCTGTCCAACTCCGCCCTGGACTCGGTCTGCCGACGTTTTCAGCTCCCAGACTCTGATCTCCTGAAGCCATCAGTGAGGTTTGAGGGAGCTCCAAAAGGCCCGCGGCTAAAACATGGGACATCCGTCGGACTTGAAAAAACACACCTGCCCTTTCTGGGCAAAAACACGTGCGAGTCTGCTTGAAGTTCCTTGTTCCGGATGCTAGGATGCTCTAATTCGTCCGATCGATGCCATCTTGCTGTGTCTGCTTTCGTTGGAACCGGACGCCTCTGACATCGCGAAGCACGCTTGTTGCACCCTCCCTCCGGTCCCCTTCTGCACCGCCAGAAACCACAAAGCGCACGTTGCTGGCTAATTTCACCTCGGAGGAATCAGAATGATGGCATATCGCTCAGCTCACGAAATGGTTCTGCGAGGGCAGATCAGCAGAGTCTGGCCAAACTGTGCCTTCCGGTGAAGAGATTGCACTTTTCCAGTTCAGTTTCTTTTCTATTCAGGGCCAGGATGACTACAAGTCCACACTTGCGATTGTACATATACATAATTGATCATAATGCTAAATTGACAAATCTAGATTCTATCTCCTTCTTTTTCTGGACACCCAAACTCTGTCAACTCCAGCTTCTTCTTTTCGCTTTGTGGCACCCGTTTTCTCCCCAAGCTCCTGCCATCCTCCTCCTTGACCCCGGTTGGGTGCTCGACAGATGTGGCACCACCTTTATGAGCGTTGTCGATGTGCCAAAGCTTTTGGCCTCAAAGGCTGTCGCCACGGGCGCCCGGTTTTTGGAGCTCAGAAATGATAGGGGACCTGGGAAACACAAAAAGACAGGGACTGAGAATGCACCGTGAATGACTGAGAATTTCTCTATCTGGAGAGTGGTGCAGGATGCCTTCCAAACAGTTCAGAAGCAAAGCGTCGACGAAAAAAGGGACCACTTTGGGATACTTGTGCAGCAAGGATTCCAGTGATGGAATTCAACCAGAGATTAAGCTACACTTCACACGTTACCGGCTCTTGGACCCAACCCGTTCGCGGTCGTTTTGACCCGAAACAACTAGGGGGTTTGGACTGAAACATGTAGCAGCAGGTTCGGGTCCATGAGCTGAAGGCACTTTAGACAGGCAAATACAACTGCAGGTCCATGCGCCACGTTCGTCCGCTGAGTTCTCGTTCGTCCGCTGAGTTCTCGTTGATTTGGGGCCCAGCTGCTGGAGTGGGGTAGTACGATCGCTCGAGTCGAGGGAGGGCCGGCATCCCAAGCCGTCGTCCTCTTCCTGCATCCAAGCCGCCCATGGAGCAATCCCAACACAAGAGACGCCCATCTGTGGCACCCGCCACCTTGGCTCTTCTTTCTGTTTCACGTTCTCACGCAAACGAGTGACTAGTAGTGACTAGGGCCATTGAGTGTTTTCCTGTCACGGCACTTGGGTTTGACCACCCCCATCTACACCAATATCAACTGATGCAGGCGATGTTCGCCCATCCCCTTGTGATCTTGGGCCTTCAGCTTCTGACCCTCATCCATATCAAAACAATGGTAAAGGCGTGAAGCAAGATCTTCCACACAGTGACACATCGTCCTGCAACCAAATATGCAAACTTATGGATGGGATGGCAACCTGGAACTCCCTAAGTCCTTCTTGTGAACATCTGCTGATACTTCTCAACGATCTGTCAAAATTTCATGTCTTCCTGAATGAGTCTTCAAGATGATCATGTGATCTTGAAAATTAAGGTCCGCCAAACTCTCTGGCGGCTGCTTTTCACTCACAACTCCTGCGGCTGCGCCCACGCTGCGCCCTCTCAGCTTGCAGCAAAAATATCTTCGGTGCCACACGCCGCCAACGGATATGCTCGCCTCAATCAGCTGGGCCGATGCGCATCCTTTGGTATTTGAGTTCACTTGTCCAATGAATTACATCAAACTCCGGGTGATGGGTCTGGTCTCAAACTGGTGAAAGGGGGCTCGGGGTTTTGACCCGCCATGTTTGTTGGGTCTATCCGAGTCTACCTGTAACAGGGATGATGATGGTTAGGTTGCAGGCCTTGTTCAAAATAGTGATTTGCTTGTTTACTGACTGCTACAGGTAAGTTCGGACAGACCCTATGTATACGTGTCTGCTATATAGGACACACCCAACAAATTTGTATATCATACAGAAACCGTTTCATGGGGGCCACAGAGAGTTGATGGGGCGGATGGCATGCCGTTTCGACTGCACTCTGAATGGAAGAATTGACATCTGTACTGACCCCTATAGAAAGAAAACTAAGTCCCTTCGAAAACAGTCCTAGGACGGTTTCGATCGATTTGAGAAGCCCCAAATTCGGACTCCCAGCGACGCCGCTACCTCGATCGGGTAGCAAAAGGAAACCGTTGGAGAACGTCCAAATCCAGGTCCCTCACGATCACAGGGTGGTCGCTGTCAATGGATCGCTGTGGAACTGTGCTCCATCCGCATCGACCTGTCGAGGAACCCTCGACCTGATCCGCATCCGATCTGCTCCAACTGCTCCACCGATCGATGAGTCGACCGACCCCGGTGCGTCGACTGGGGCACCCGGGCGTGCCCACCGAGCACCGGAGCTTGGCGGTGTAGTCGTTCGCGTCCCAAAGGCTGGGCGGTCGACCGGTCCCGAGCGCTCACATCGGGTGGCGGTGAGGGCTGATGGCTTCGAGAAATGCAGAAAGGCCAGTCAGAGTGATGCACCAATCACATATATGTCTTTATAGTTATACTATATATATATAAATATGTATATATATATATGTGTATTTTTGTCTTGTATGTGTGTGTATGGATCGTCTATTTGACCACTCCAGTCGGACCGGAAGTGAAACCTCATGGTTTTCTCGCACACACACGTTGGGTCCGGGACCCAGATAAAACACCACGAGCTCAACGAGCTTCTTGGGTTGATGCTTGGGATCCTCTAACATGCTTGGAATCCACCCTTCCACCCTGATGATGTGATCATGCTGATGAATCAACCCCGAGATGGAGATGCAAGACCGCCAAACCATTCTGGTGATATTCTGATCCACAGTCTACATGATGTTGTGGATGAGGCTTTAAGGATTGTGACTCACCGGATCATCCACTGTCTTCAGAAAAGAACCATCTGATTCGCTCATCCCTCTACTTTCCTCATACGTCTTCCGCGACAGGTATCCCTATGTCTTCCGCGACCAATCCACCCCACACGCCGAACATGGCCCGCCCCCGCCCGCCCTCCGCGGCTTGCATCTCTCGGTCTCCGCACGTCACCAGACTATCCCCGGAGCAGGTGAGGAAGTGGTCCGAGATCTCAGCCGTCCGGTCGGGCTGCATCGGTCCACCCGGGTTCCGGTCCGACGGGGGGCTGAGAATCGCACGTTGGCCAGGTGCGCAACGTCATACAAAGCACCGGGTGAGACCTGTCCACATTCTCTGAGTTTGTGTGCGTTGGATTACACACAGCCCATCAGTGAGCAGTGGCACAGGGCCCCATGGTAGCTGATTCAACTTACTCGTGTCATATAAATATATATATATATCGGTGTTCCATGTGTCACTGTGTTGTAATTACAACTCTCTAGCCTACATCAAACGTCAAACTTGTCTACATCCGTCCTGGGTGTAGTCACGGAAAACCATCTTTCATATACAAAACAGCGTTCAGGAAGTCTCAGCCAGCAAGCCAAGACAAAGGGAAGCACCAACAAAGAACTACAAGTTTCTTGGGGGGAATAAATAGAAGGAAGAAACGAAGCAATAAAGCTTGAGCTTTTAAGTGAAGCTTTTTTTGGGAAAGCTCCATCACGGCCTGGCTGTGTGCAGTACGTTTCGGACACTGGATGGTGGGATGCTTCCGGCACCGCCTGGCTGTGTGGCTTCACTGAAAGGTCCTGGCGAACCGAAGAACCGAACCCAGTCCGGGACCGGGCCCTTTTCGACCAGGTCCCCCGGTTCGGGGCAGTCAATACGTGGCACAGATGGGGAGAAACATAGAAACCACCTGCGCCAATATCTGATGTTTTGGTGATTTTTGTGCCATCTGCTCTCAAGGAAACTGGGGATGTTCATCTATGTCTACACTGCGTCTATGCTTGTGTGCACGTCCTGTTGATTGGTATATAGAGACATGTCGAGAGTCTAGACTGCATGCAGTCTAGACATAGGCGTCTTACAGTCTAGTCTGCTCTGCCGGCAACATGCAGTAGTCACACGATCTGAACAGCCCAGCTCGGGAAATCGCTTGTGAGCTGGGATGCCTTTTGATCATTCGATGCCCAAATATCTCATCGGTAGTGGCCATGGCGGCTGCCTTGACGTCCATCACACTACCTATGTCCTTCAAACATGTTTGCTTTTCTTCACACCCTCGTTTTGAGGATCGAAACTCGGTCCGACCAGCTGAGCCACCAAAACGGTGGCATACCGATTCTTCCAACCAGTCGGGACTGGAAGAAAGGATGGTCCATTCGACTCTCGAAACGGTCCCGATGTGGGTCGAATCCAGCGGAAACGTTTCGGCAAACAGGGAACCCGAAACGGTGATTGCCCATGCGTTCGGTGAATTGAATCGATCTTAAACACCGCTGCTCAACATGGGTTGGTCGAAGAAAACAAGTTCCACAAGCAATATGGTGGCTTGTGGACGCTTCCCCGAAACAATCACGCACACGCGAAGTTCCCACATGTTGAAGTTAAAGGCCTTTGACTCGCCCCTATTGGCCCCTTCTTGTTTCTTACTCCGGCGTCGGACGAGCTAGGTTCCCAAGACCAAGACCACAAAAAAGAAGCTGAGCTCCAGCAACTGGAGCCTTGAAGCTGCTTATTATTCCGTTCTCATTCCTTCGCCTTGGAAGACGAAGGCCTTCGCCCGGTACCTACCAACCTCCCTCAAACGCCTTGGAGCGGATCATCGAGGCCGAGCCCAAGGTGGAGACCTCAGGGCGTTCGTAACGAAGGGCCGGTGGTTTTTGGTGGGTCCTTGGTTGCCAGATGTTTCCACCAAAAATTGGTGGTTTTTGTGGGCCATCTTTTGTCCACTTGCCTGGCAAAACTCTGAGGCCAAGTGACGCTTGAAAGTCAAAGCCTTCGGGCCCCTATGTATCATGGCTTGAAGGAACTCTCCACCAACATAAGATGCATATCAGCAAGTCACTGCGGCACCGTGGAACAACACTTCGACTAAGGCCATGGCAGCTAAGACCTCCAGCACAGACGAAACGACCCGAAAGGACCCGCGAAGAGCGTGCTGCGGCCCCCGCCCCCGGCGACCAAAAACCACCGTGTTTCACCGTCGACCAAAAACATCCAAGACACGGGCGCTCATGTCTGCCGAACTTGTTGTAACGAAGAGGACATGATTCAACAAGGGTATCGCTTTTGAGGGGGCCTAGTGCTTCTTCAGGTTTTAGCCAAATTCATAAAACTCAAGGTCGTTCTTTACTGAACTGGTTATCGTACGTTTTGGCGGTTGCTCATATCTTCTCTTATAATTCAGATTACCTGCCATACCTGTAGATACGGAGGAATAGTTCATTCAAGACCCTAGAACAGGCGTTTCTCCAGACCCATAAGTATCTATGTCGTTCCGAACACGGGCCAGGGGTCTTTGTGGAGAAAGCACCGGTTTTCTGTGCACCATGTGATCACAACGTTGAGCAAGAGGGAACGGCATTCAAAAAGCCACAACACATCATCGTCCAAGACGGCCTCACTCTGGTCGGGCGCCAAGGACAAGGAGCTCAAAGGGCCGTCCAGGCGAATCTGGCGCTCCTTTGCGGGGGGGAAAGGGGGAAGTCTCACAGGAGAAGTCTCAAAAGATCAGATACACCCCATGAAATGATCCATGGAAGTGGAGTGAAAGCCACCTGTTTTGTAGGAGAAAATGGTGTGCAAGGGGCCATGCCATCCACTCCTATGATGACTTTAGGGAGTGTAGATAATGCGTATGACTATACATGACTATACAATCACGAAAATGTCTGCCAGAGATGTGAATGTTGGTGCTTCCTATGACGGACTGTTCTTCCCAAAACTACTAATTACAAAAATACATCACATTTACAAAATGTATGTACAGTACTCCGACAAATCCTAATCGAACAAGTTACACACATGAACCGTTGGGAGCCTACACCTTGCTTTTCCCTCCCACGAACTTTCACGTGAGGACCGTGAGGGCACACTGCTCCGCTTGGGTGAAACGGAGAAAACCTTCGCTTCATGGCAGCCCGGTCTGGCTCTGAGCCAGCCAGGCTGGCGCTTCCTCTCTCATCCTCTTGGATTGGCTCCTTGGGACGGAGCAAAGGCTGCATGATTCACTACGGCTCCATGGCCCTTCAGTGTGCGTACACACTCGCCGCTCTGCACGTTCCAGATCTTCGTGGCACCATCCGACGCGGCGGTGACGATGTGCGACATGTCCGAGGAGAACTCGGCCGAGACCACGCCATTGCCATGCCCTGGGACCGACCGAGGTGGCCGGTCTATGGTGGTGAAATGAGTGGCCGGGGTAGCCGATGTTCATTGAATCAGAGTGATTTTTTCAAACGATCTATAAGCAAACATCACCAAGATCCAAGAAAAACAAGATAAAAATAAATAAATAAATAAAAAAACAAAAAACATCTCCCCACTCCCCAGCCCCACTCCCCAGGCGCGCCTTGAAAGGTCTTGGCACACTTCCGGTTTTTCTTCTGCGTCAGCGACCAGAGTTTCACCGAACGGTCCCAGGACGCGGTCAAGAGCCAATTGGCATCGGGTGACAAGGTGGCTGAGGTGATGTAGGTGTGGTGACCCTTGAGGGTGTGCACGCATTGCCTTGGATGAAGGATGGATGAAGGAGAATTTTAAGGGATCTTCTTCCCATCGATGGAAGAATCTTCCCCCATGAAACGGATTCACCAGGGGAAACCAGGTGTGGAAGAAAAAGAGGACAACCTTGATTCGCCTGAAAAATCCCACCCAGCTGCTGCGTCTTAATGTTCCACAGCTTCGCGGTGCCTTCCTGCAAAGTCGACAGGGCCCAATTCTGCACGGGAGTGCTGAAGACAGAGACGATCACCTGGCGGTTCACTTCGACCAGTGGACCTACCAACGTTGACCGAACCACCCAAGAGAGGAGATATGACCTGAACCAGCGCTGGCTACCTCTGGGATGGTTTTTTTCGACGTCCCAACCACCTCCGTAGCATGGTGATGGTGGACCGCCCCAAAACCTCCCTCCGATCGCCCTGGTCGCCTCGCCCCGGGGCCGCGTTAAGGTCTGCACGCACTCCGCAGTTTGCAGGTCCCAGATCTTGGCACTGCGATCCACGCTGGCGGTCAAAATACTGAGCCCGTCGTGCGCGAAGATGGCGGAGACCACGCCGTCGTTGTGACCGGAGAAGGTCTTGATGCACTCGCCCGTGAGGACATACCAAAGCCGGGCCGTTCCATCATACGAGGCCGTGAGCACCAGATAGCCATCCTCCGAAAACACGGCGGTGTAGACGGCGTTGGTGTGTCCTTTGAAGATTTCCACCGGCTCTCCGGTCAGGGTGTTCCAGATCTTGGCCGTGCAATCACGCGCCGCGGTCAGGAGCGTACAGCCATCCGAGGAGAAGCAGGCGTGCCGGACGCCACTTTGGTGCCCACCAAGGGACTGGATCTGCTCACCGGTATTGGCGTCCCAAATCTTCACTCCGCCATCCACCGAAGTGGTGGCGAGCCACAAAATGTCTTGTACAATCAGCGTCAATCTAAGCTCCTCTGAAGAGGAGCTATGGCCAAACTCCCAAATTGAGTGGTCAATTGGGGATTTGTTTGCGAATCCCGTGAGGGTTTGGGGACAAATTCCAGCTTTGCTCCCCTCTCACGGTTTGACCTGCCTATGTCTCCTTCCATGTGGAGGGAGGCTTGCAGCAGGGGATTGCAGCAGGGGTATACGCATACCAGTATGCTTTGCTTAGGTCGAACATCCCACCTCTAACTCTGGTCCCTAAAAAGGACAAACCCAGTTATATAAATCCTAAACCATCCAAAACCATCCAAAACAATCAATCCTAAACCATCCGAACCCCATGTTCATTTGGCGCCTTGAAACTCACCCATCTCTTCGTTTCTTTTTTGCGCACCCGCAATCTCTCCTTGGTGAAGCCCAAATCCTGCAAGCGCCGCCGGGGGTCTAAGACGTCGCTCTCGAATAAGAGTCGTTGCCGGTACGCGGGCGCGCCCGTCAGGCGGAAGATCTCCTGCTGGATGTCCTGGAGATCGACGAAGATGGACCAGAGCCCATGGGTGGAACTGGGTTCGGAAGACCCCTGCCCCATGTTTGGCGAACGTCGAATCGGATTTTACATCGTTTTACTTGCTTCTTGCCGGGAGCAACTCGGAGGTCTCCCTAGTTGCAATTCTCACCCTGGAAAGAACATCAATGAATTAAATGGTATCAATATGTATCAATATCTGTCAATGCCCAAAAATAACGATCGTCGCGTCCGGACGACCAGTAGAACACTTCCCACAACCACAGTAACATGCACCTCCATGCACCTCCCACATGTGTCAACCATGGAGGGCCAACCATGAAAAAGAAAGCATGGCAGCAGCGACGTGACGTTCCTGGCGTTCGTCGATGGCATTTTTGTCGGGTCCTGTGCCGATTGACAGGGGTCCAATTCCAAGGAGGCGATCTCAGTGCCACTGGTTGCGTAGGTGACAAAGACCTTGATGTTGTTGTTCCACGGCATGGGGCGGGGCGGCAGGTGTTCCAAAGGCTCGAATTGATGGATGATCAACTGAGTTTCAACGAACCATCCAATGATACTAGTTGGAAATGCACAGATGATACTGGTTGTGGATCTACGTCTGCTTCTGGTGGTATACAGTGGTTGCATCAAGTTACATCCAGTCAATTTGCAGGCGTTTGGCTAGGTCTGTGTAGGGTGGGTGATACAAGCCGAGTCTGTCTGTTTTGGCTTTCTGGGCTTGTCTGTTCCCTCGTTCAACGGAAAGCCAAAAAGGCATAGAGCGTTGCGCTTGCGATACATTTTCAGCAACAGAATCTCTTGTGTGGTTTCCCAAACCATTCCAGAAGTGCTTGAACCACTGGGGATCTCGAATCTCAAGGCCTTTCCTTTACAGAATGTTCCTAAGTGCTAGGGCATACGGCTGCTTGTTTGACTCCAAACCACTGATATCTAAACGCCAAGAACGCCCCAAGGCCGCAATCGCGGACCTCAACCGAGGATGGGCACGTGTTATATAAGTGGTATTGGTAGAGTCTTGGTAGAGTGAGTCAAATCCCGATGGCAGCTGCCACAGAAGCTTCAAGAATCATGAGACGTAATTGCAATTCCTAGTGGCACGTTTCAGGAATTGGTTTAGGATGTTTAGGGAGCCGTAGACAAAAAGCTCTAATCTCAATGGTACAGCGAGGGCACACGAGTGTCACGAAGCATGAGCACTATCTGTCTAGTGGAAAATGCAAAAGAAAAAGACGAGATTCAGAGCGAGATAGGGACGAAATGGGCAGGGATGTCCAATGCTTATTCTAGGAGGAAAAGCTTCTCAAGAAATAGGCCACAAAGAACGATACTCAATGATGAACATGAACATCCAACACCAAAAATGCTCAACTAAGAGGCTCTTCAGGAAACATCCAACACCCAAAAAAACGCTCCCCGCTCTTCCGCACTCCCCCCCCCAAATGCACTCGTTTCCCATGCCCCATCCCTGTCCGACCCTCAAAGAAAACCTTCGAACACGCACGACATGTCCCCCCGACGCGTCGGTACACGCGGGTCGGAACGGTGGAAAGCCGGGCGGTGCCCACCTCGTGAAGCTCCAAGGCATTGGGACCCGCCAGGACCTCGTGGACCCGCTGGGTTGGTCCACCCGTGGGGGCACCGGGACGCCACCGGGTGGAGCGCATAACGCCGTTCACACGGCGCGGTCATCGGCGCTGTGGGTGTTGAGGTGCCACTTGTAAGGAAACCATGGAGGGACACTGTGATCACCAGTGACATGGTCATAGTCTTGGAAGGCAAGGTGATCATAATTGATCTTTGTCATTCCTTGTTTCTCTGCTTATACCTCCAAACGGTTCCATGATTTGCGAAAGATCAGGAAGGTCCCTGATCGTGTCATCCTTACGCCAAAAGAAGGCGAGCTTCGTCATTCTTCTTCGTTGGTGCATCCACTCGCCACGTTGGGAGCTGGCAGAATGTGAGGATTTGGAGTTTGATCTAGAAAGATGAGAACTGATACTCTTCGATCCAATCGTAGAATCGATTCCTTGGCCTAAAAGTTCTTCTTATGGAGACTTGTGAAACAAACAGTCTCAGCTTCCGAAGCTGCTTCTTTTTGATTCGACCAAGAGGCTGTCACAGTTCCATCGCCACCAGCTGCCACCTGGACGCGCACTTCTTTGGGAGGCGAAAAAACACACTAGCACATGGCTTTGGGAGAAGCACATGCCTCTCACCCCAGCAAAAAACACACCGAAAATCACATGACGGTGAAGTGATGTGCGGAAAAAAAACGCCGAACCGAAACGAAAAAAGAAACCACGTCGATCCGCTCGAGCTCGTTGGTGAAAACCTCCCCCATCGTCGAACCCAACACCTAACACTGCGCATCGAAGGGACGGTCCAAAAGGTCTAAAGAAGACAGGATAGGAAAGGTCTTTTCTAAAGAAAATGTATACTGTATGTATATATGCTATAGTAGTAGCAGTAGTAGTAGTAGTAGTAGTAGTAGCAGTAGCAGTAGCAGTAGCAGTAGCAGTAGCAGTAGCAGCGTAGTGATAGTAGTAGCGGCTGTTGTAAAAGTAGTAGTCGTTGTAGTCGTAGTAGTCGTAGTACTAGTGGTGGTGGTGGTGGTAGTAGTAGTAGTAGTAGTATTAGTAGTAGTAGTAGCAGTAGCAGCGTAGTGATAGTAGTAGCGGCTGTTGTAAAAGTAGTAGTCGTAGTAGTCGTAGTACTAGTGGTGGTAGTAGTAGTAGCAGTAGCAGCGTAGTGATAGTAGTAGCGGCTGTTGTAAAAGTAGTAGTCGTTGTAGTCGTAGTAGTCGTAGTACTAGTGGTGGTAGTAGTAGTACTACTACTACTACCAAAAAAAGAAAACGACCGAAACGTCCTCAGCGCGGCACGAAACGGCTCCCAGACTCGACCAGCGTACAGACCTTGGAGCCCGCACGGACGGTCGCACAAGCTCGGGTCGTCCGACTGTGGACCAAGCGGGAAAGGAAAAAGGAAGGACCAAAACAGTTTTAAACATGGCCAAACTATGCCAAACGATATAAATCTTACTAAAGGTCCTTCTGTCCATTTGCTTCCGTGACCAGCTCACGTCTTGTTTGGAAGGAAGAGTGAATAGTGAATGTACCGACAAGATGCCCTCCAATGTACCCGTATAGCAGGGGGTTCTCTATTAAAGTGCATGACGCAAAACCATCCCCTTACCTATGAGAACAAAGTCCTTGGACCATGGCTGCCAATCACCAGAGTCGTTGTGGTTCAAGTAAGCAGATTTTTGTGCTCGGGGTCAACATCCTGATTTTGTGGGCAAAAGCACTTTGGAGAATGGACCAGAAAATTGTAATGTCTTGCTGGCTGCTTTGGACTTGAGCATGTTGACTTGCTGTGTCGGCCTGCATGTCGATTTCACTCTTGTTTTTCTGCACGTCCCCTTTCCCATGTGGCCAATTCATTTCGCACCTTGTCCTGGATTTGTAGCCCTTGGTCCGCACCCCCATCCACATTTATCAGGTCATGATCATGCATGGACATGACAAGAAAGGACATGTATAGAAGCGCAATGGTATTTGCTAGCAGCATTCATCAAGCGAATGAATCGAAGGTGGAATTAGGCTTGATTAAAGTCTTGCAAATCATCTTGCTCTAAATCATGATGCATGTGATGATGCAGGTCGAATGTGTAAACCCTTTAAATTGTCTTGTGTTACAACATGTGAATCATATTGAATCATGATGCGTCTATTTAAATCTTGCTTGAACAAAAGAAGTTGGATGGTCATTCTTCCAAAGGGTTTGCTTAAAGAGCTTTCAGGCTCCTTTCAATTCACCAAAGGCTCTTTTTTCATGGCAGAGATGGCCACCAAATCTCATGGGTGACCGGATCCAAACCCGTCCCGGACGGGGGAGTTGAGGGGAGCTTTGTTGGACCAAAGAACGAGCGAGGCAAAGTCTGCCTTCTCTCGCTTTCAACATACTTATAGTAACATATAGTGTGTGTGTATATATATATATACATATGTACTGTATATAGAGCCCCAAATAGATAGAAAAGATCCCCACTCAAAATGTCGTGGAAACCGTGCCACTATCTATTGGGGACCCCTTGCATGAGTACCGTGATCTTTGAATCTTGTAAGCGAACACAACCTCGGATGACCCGGCGCAACGCCCGAACCATCGGTCGCACGCTCGGACCGGCGGCGAACGCCCCCGGGTGCGGGGGCGAGGTTGACCACGCCGCCGCCGCAGACCGCGATGAAGGTTTGCACCTCAGACGTGATCCGCGGGGGTTCAGGTGGAGACCCGGGAGAGAGGGACACCTCGACGGGCTGCCGGGTTTCGACAAGGAAGACATCCCGAACTTCTGGAAAAGCGGTTCATGTTCCGTGTGGTGAACCAGGATATACCAGCAGATCTGGATCTGAATTGACAGACCTGGATTGATGAGTATCATAATGTATAATATTCTGCAGATGTAAACCGGTGATTTACCTGGATTGTTTTATGACTGTAGTTGTTGGAGTGCTGTCTTTCTGAATTGGAAAGTCTTTGGAGTTCTTTTGGGTTATGAAGTTCACCATTGAGGTTGATCTCCAATCCTCTCGTTTCAGCTCGACCCGATCTAATGGTTGATCTGGGGAGGCCAAGCAGCTGCCATTTTAGGGAATCGAGGACAGGTGGCGAAAATCTAGATGAGACGTATGAACCTAAGGACTGTTCACGCCGAAGCTGACACTTGTGATTCAAAACAAAATAAAACCGTCCAAAAACGCAGCTCAGCTGGGACGGGCTTGCCTGGCAAACGATTTTGAACATCTACTGTATGGATTCAAAACGAACGCCGCAATTCTTGTGGCCGTGGTTCTCTCGAAAAAGGTCTGGTCTTCTCAGCCTGCGGCCACTCGATTCTTCATGAGAACCACGGCCACATCGCCAGTCGTCGTGCCTCGCGAAAATCATGTAAGAAAACACGGGAAGGGCGGAAGGGTCCTAGCAGCTCCTAGCATAACAACCTAGAGGTTGTGGGTTTAGAAGATTAGGACTTCCTCCTCCAGGTCGGTCGCTAAGTTTTGCGGAGGATAGATGGTGAGTCCAGACGTGTTCAAGATCTTGCTCAACAACACCACAGGGATGCTGATCATCACCTGTGGTCCAAATCAATTTCAGCACTCCGGTTTTCTCGCTTCCTAAGGTCGTCTCAAGGCAATGGTAGCTCTCCAGACACAGAATCATATCATATCATATATCATACATATACATATAATACATATTATATATATATATTCATAGCAGTTTCGACATGTTCAGCATACCAGTAGTAATGGTTAATTACCTAGTTCCAATCACGTCAAAAGTCCCACAACTCCTCAGGGGTCTCTAGGGTCTCCAGGTGTTTGTCGCCAGGCTGCCGGTGGCAGATGTTGCCAGGCTGCCAGGCACCAGGGCGTTGTCACCCAAAAAGAACAGCCAACCAACCTACCTACCATACCAGCCATTCAAGTTACAACCAAGCCAGCTACCCAACCGACCAACCAGGA